TGCTCCCATCCAACCTGACAGAGCTTGAGAGGTGAAGAGGTGAGGAGAAGAATGACAGATAATTGCCAAATGATGATGAGCAAAGCTTGTCGCATCAAACAAAAAAAGACTAGAGGCTGTTAAGGTTCTTCAGCTAAATATTTAGTTATGAATAAATACTGGCCAGCTGCTGCTGAAACAGCAGTGGACTGCTTGAGCTAGCACTCGCGATACCGCTCGCCTATGGACCGCCAAGCTTAATGATGTATTTTGTGATTTCAGCTATGAAAGGTAAGAGGAGAAAAGCATGCTGTGGTTGTGTCTGTCCTTTTTGTAAACTTCCTTCTTTTGCGAGCGAGTCAAGCTGCAAAAGGCTTTAATCATAGTCAGCCAACTCACTGTTAGAGCGTCTCGTGTAAAGAGAGAGAGAGAGAGAGAGAGAGAGAGGCATTGGGGCTTGTGCAAGTTTTTATTGCAGGAAAATTGTTGTTGTGGCATTGTTTTACATTTCTATTTTGTAAGGAAATGAAGTTAGTGCTTTGATACGAATGAGAAAGTTCTGTTGCTGAATCAGCTGAATGTCAAACAAGAGGCTGTTAGGATGCTGATGCCTGATTTTAATGTTCCTGAGATGGATTTGGAAATAAAATATTTTGGAAATGCAACAAATTGAATATTTTTTATATTATTTTATACACTCAAAGTTTCAGTTTTCAGTCAAGAATTGGTGGTCTCGTTGCCCCAAGTCAGAAACCGAGAGTGTTGTTGTGTTGTTGAAGGGAACAGGTCGAGGAGAGTTTGAGTCGGGATGCAGGATGTGTCGACTGGCAGTCGTTTGGGTTGACGTCGGTGTGTGTCGTGTTCCACTGACCTATTTTTTGGGCCGTGAACATCCAGGGTGAGCGGCACACCACTTTACTGGTGTTGATCCTGCCTCCATAATCCTGCTCGCACACACACACACAGGTTTGTTTTTGTGAAAGTGGGTACTCTCCATAGGCGTAATGGTTTTTCTACTGTACAGACCATATATTCTATTGCCCTACACCAACCCTACCCCTAAACCTACCCCTCACAGGAAACTTTCTGCATTTTTAGATTTTCAAAAAACTTAATTCTGTGTGATTTATAAGCTTTTGTACCCGTGGGGACCACAATTTAGGTCCCCACCGTGACACGAGTCCCCATGAGTCTGTGTGTAGTCAGGTTTAAGTCCCCACCAGGATATATAAACCAGTGCACACACACTCTCACTCATCTGCCTTTTCTAGGCTGGAAAACCTGCATTCTCATATTCATCTGTTTTCATTTGAAGTCTCTCTCTTTCTTTCTTTTTTGTATACATACACTTTAAAATACATATAAACTCCGTGCATCCATGCCACCACACACACTCCCTCCTCTTCGTGCGCACACATAGCTGTCACTCTGTATTAGGCGAGAGGTGTTGAAAGTGGAAAAAGCGATGGATGTTGGTGTTGAGCCGCGGTAACACCAATCTTCTCCTTCGCACACTCTCGGTGAATCTCTTACTGAAAGCTTTTCGACAGTTCACCTCCACTGCACTCGCAGTTATTGCATTAACACAACACCGAACCGCCTCGTAATCCTTGTATCTGTTTGTTGGAGCTCAGTTAAATAGCATACGTTATGTATTAAATAGATTTATGCAGCATCAAAATGCATCGCTAAGCCATATTTGTAATATTGCGTAATAAAATATTTATGCAAATTTTCCAACTTGATTTTGCAAGGAATTACAAGGACGTGTATTGAAGCTTACGTTTTATGAACCTTTTTTTCCTTCTTGTTCTGATCTTTGAGTATTTGGATTGTTCATACCTTCTCAAGCATCTGAATGTGAAAGCATGTTGTCTAAGTGTACGTGTGGGTTTAGCTTTTTTGCATGCATGCAGCCGTTAGTGTGTGTTTGTGGGTATGATGGTGCAAGTGTGTGTGTGTGTTGTGGAGCTGGAGCAGGTGTATGCAATAGCCTCTGACCCCGTGTCTCATGTGTGGGTTGTTCTGAAGAGGCTTACAAACTGAAAATAGAGCTCTTGGAGACTGGAGGAATGCATAATAGTAGAGCCAAACCAAAACTAACTCTTTAATAAAAGGTTTTCTAATGTTTTAGAGAGGTTGATACAGTTTGCATGGACTCAGTTGCAATATTTTGATAGAACTGTGTATAATTAGATGTTTTCTATTGAAGACACCTTGTATTTGTATGCAATTAAAAAATATTTTTAACTAATAAAATATTTCCTACTGTTTTAATTTAGGGAGGCTAATACTGTTTGCAGTGAATCAGTTAAAATGTTTTGATAGAATTGTGTATTATTAAATGTTTTCTATTGAAAACGCCTCGTTTTTATGTAATTTCATTTTTGAAACTGTGCTGAAACTTAAAAATCATGAATAGACAAGCTTGCTCATTTATTTATTGTTTGTTTGTAAATGGCTTCTTAAAATCTCATTTCATTTCAGCATCGTTATCAGAGCAGTCGACTGATTGCGACTCTGATTTAATTTACGCCTGGCAATTACTAAGTGTTTGCTTTGCAAGTCATTTGACAGGCATGTTTTTACGGATGCTAACACCTCTTTTTTTTTGGTAATACGATATGGTTATCTGTCTTTTTTCCGATCATCCCTCCTTTTTCCTTTCCTCTTTCCCAGCCTCCTAGCCACACACTTGCCTCTCAAGTACCTAATTACCTGTAATGGAAACATCCCTCTCATTACCCTATGCAAATAAGCTAGCCTGCTCCACACAATTAAGATGAAAACTCCAAATATTAATTACATAATTAAAGAAAGTTGTTTGATGTGCCAAAGACAGAAAAAAACAGGCCCGTTTCATCTGTGTGGTAATTAACTCTTTAATAAGCTATAAAGTATGTTGGAAAGAGCTGTTTGAAATCTTCTCACATTTTTGTGTGCAGTTTGCATGTGTTCTGAAAAGTACCAGACCAGAATGAATATCAATGCATGTAGACGTTACAAACAAAGTTAAAGCAAATAACATTTGCATGCAAGTGAACGTTAGTGGTTTGCTCTTTCTCTCTCTTTAGTCACTAGGCTAGTTGAGTGTTCTTGACTAGTGTGATTCTCTGGGCACTTCGGTAACACAGCAGAGGTTAACAAGATTGGCTGTAATCCAGTTAGCCACAAAGGACAGAAAGAGGGCAGGCAAAATCAGATTAAGTTGAAGTAAAGATGTAGCCCACTAGCTAGGGTTAAAAATAAAGCGCGAGTTTACTGGCCAGCAAGGAGTATTAAGTGGACTATTTCTGCAGCGGCTTCAGATTTTGCAATGGAGCGGGGTAAGGAGTCACTTTTATGGATGTTTTAAGTGCCACTTGCTATGGTGTTAATGTTTTTGCATTAAATATTAAGCATTTGGCAGTTTCAAAAGTTCAAAATGTAAAAACCAACATTTGAAAAAGAATTTATCACACTGTCTTTGAATGTTGTGTTAAAGCTATTATCTTTTGTATACATGTTATGCTGTAAGTAGCCAATTCTTGGTCAGAAGTTTCAAAATAAACCAGACTTTATTGTAATGGGCAAAAAGCTATGTGAATATAAGGACTGAAACAAACTCAAATGTCACTGTCTTGTATTGCAAAATGTGTAAGAAAGCACAATTTGGAAGTTTCAGAAGTTCAGAATGTTTTATATCTATATAGATAGATATAGATATATAGATATATATTAGATGTTATATAAGGACTGAAACAAACTCAAATGTCACTGTCTTGTATTGCAAAATGTGTAAGAAAGCACAATTTGGAAGTTTAAGAAGTTCAGAATGTTTTATATCTATATAGATAGATATAGATATATAGATATAGATATATAGATATATATTAGATGTTATTCAGAACGCTCTCTTTCTGTCTAAGTGGTCGAAGTTTACAAATAAACCAGAATTGATTCTGATAGGCAAAAAAAACTAGCTATTCGAATCTAAGACCTGAAATGTACTCTAATGTCACTGTCTTGTATTCTGAAACATCTTAAGAAAGCAATTTAAAATTTGTTGCATTCTCATGGTAGCCACAGGGGTGGCTATTGCTAGCTGTTGCATAATCTCTCTCCTTCTGCTAGCTGTTGCATAATTTCTCTCCTTCTATGGTCATGTTCTTGCAGGTCATTGTTTAATTGGACAGGTGTTTGAAGGTAACACTATTGCCACCTTAGATAATGAGGTTTGTTAATGCCAGAGCAATGCAAGAACATAAGTGTGTACAACAAAACAACATTTTCACATTTGCATACTTTGCAAAATTTGCAAAAAAGAATTTTGCACAGCAAGATTAGTTTTATATTTAATGTCATTGCAGCATAATGTCTGACTGCTGTGTAATCGACTTTAATCTAGTCCAGTCTAGACCTGCTAAAAGACATGACTGGATCAAACCAAGGGAGGAATCCTGGTGTGTGGAAGTGGGCTTTGGATTGATAAGAGCATATACACATGCGCAAATACACTCCACAGAGACAGTCTGTCATCATTTCTCCTTGGAAGTTGAGTGACCATATTCCACCACATCTTGTGAAAGAAACTGAGTGGCACATTTCCACAGGTTATTACAGTGTGTGGCATTTGAGAGAGAGAGAGTGGGAGAGAGACTGTCGGAGTGTGTATGAGTGTGTGGCAGAACTGTGAAATGCATTACCTGCCAGCTTGGGCACGGTGACTGCTTAATGAGATATTGACTGGCCATTGAGAGCATAGATTTTTGATTTAGCTCCAGGGGTATGTGTGTGAGAGAAGAGAGAGTGTGTGTTTGAAAAAAACAATCCAGACGGTCTGAAGACGGAGAGAGAGAGAGGGGATGAATGAGTGAATTTGAGACTGAGCAAACGAAAGAGTAGAAAACAGAGAGAGTTTCTCTGTAGAATTGTAATCTGGCACTTCTCCTGGTTACCCATGCCACGCACGGACACACCCATCCTCACGCTACATCTGAGCCCTGGCACCTCGGACAGTTTGGCATGAGTCCCATGTGCCAGTCTCAACTCACCCTCTTGGCAGGCAAGACAATCTCCACTCCAAAGAAAATAGATCCTTGTTACATCAGATGCTTCTGTCTCCGCTCAATCAAACTTGTGCTAATTTTATCCCCTTAGACTTTAAGTCAACATGAAACAAATATCGACTCTATTTACTTATAGCTGATTCATCAGTACATACTTTTTAATAAAAAAAAACATATTTATAAATCATCTTCAAAATGTTACTTTCTCCATATTTGAAACAACTTTTTCTTTTCATCTGATCT